ATATAATGATTTTACCAAATCTTGTCTCAATTGTCAAATTGAAACAAAGAGTAGACTACAGAAAAAAATAATAGTAATAATCTGGAGGTTCTATTAATGTGTAGAATCACTGGATGAACAAATTCCGGGCAATTACAGCAATCTGTTACGCATATAGCTATAAATGTTTCAACTATCGTTAAGAGCATGCTCCCTTTCCAAGGATACAGTTACTCAGATACTTCGACATAGCAAATTATAATCCACAATACAAGCAAATTACCGCTTTCTATCGATCCTGGTTTACCGCCATCTTACGACCCTTTATGATACCATATGCTAGTGAAATAGGCCTTGATTTCAGTCTAATGTATAGTAGCACACGCCCTGCTAAACTAGCATACACATTTCTTGAAAACTCTAGGATTGACCAGATGCACGCTCACGTGGCTTCAGTCTCTTGAAGCACATATGGCATACGATTGAAAGTCGATTGCAACTTTTCAAGTATCTCCAGATGCTACAGACGCCCTGGAAATAGTTGTTTCAAGGAAGTGGTCAAAGATATCTCAGAACCTTATCAACACTTTAATTTTCAGTATGCTACACAGGTTGTTCTTGTTGTTCGTGGTGACCACACTCCGTAGTGAAGTGAAATGTCATGAACTGTAAATACATCGGTCTATAACCACTTCTACCAAATGTTCATTTAAGAGTTTGGGCTAAATAACCAACCATTTGCATTTAACAGCACATGATTGATCATCAAAATCCTGACTTGAATAAAAAAACGAACAGAAGGCGATGATTAACATTATTTGATAATAATGAATTTGCCTTTCCACAGCTAAAATATTATACATTCTAATCATACTTTAATTATTTCCAGCAATGTAGTTAGCACGTAAGTCAATCAGAAGTCATGCAACTAAGAGAGAATACAAATAATTGTTGTTCCAATAAAATCGTTGACAAAATTTGTTACACCAGTGATTTTATTCCTAGAATTACAATAAATCTCACTATCTACTGAATCATGGATACACACCTGTATTTAATAATCATGCTGAATCATGGGTGCACATACCTGTATCAATAGTTGCTAATGCATCATGGATACTCATAGATGAATAATAGTCGTTAACGCATCATGGATATACATAGATGAATTATAGTCGTTAACGCATTATGGATACACATAGATGAATAATAGTCGTTAACGCATCATGGATATACATAGATGAATTATACTCGTTAACGCATCATGGATACACATAGATGAATAATAGTCGTTAACGCATCATGGATATACATAGATGAATTATAGTCGTTAACGCATCATGGATATACATAGATGAATAATAGTCGTTAACGCATCATGGATATACATAGATGAATAATAGTCGTTAACGCATTATGGATATGCATAGATTAATAATAGTCGTTAACGCATCATGGATATACATAGATTAATAATAGTCGTTAACGCATCATGGATATGCATAGATTAATAATAGTCGTTAACGCATCATGGATATACATAGATGAGTTAATAGTCGTTTTTGCAACTGCTGTATCGTGGATAAAACCTAAGGCTCACTACTTCAACTAACTGATAAAAGCATAAACATTTAAGTAGTTTAATCTGAGACGTAACTGTTAGATTATGAATGAATCCTAAGATTAAACAGACATTCATCTCTTTGCAGAAAAACTAAATGTATTTATAAAGTAAGTACAATATATTAATGATACCATGTCAATGAAATATAGTTCGTTATTTTATCGACATCGAATAATTATGAATTGGAAAAATGTACCACTATGTAAAATGGCGTATTCGATGTCCAATCGCTTCTAAAAAAATAATTCTACTAAACAGTTTGTTTTATGTTATGTCCTCACTATTTTTGCCTGTTACAAACCTTAGTTACGTAGTAGATCTTGACGAGTGAAAGATATTCCAAAATGGTTGTAGGGTCACCGATAGTGTCTCTATGATTTCTTTTATATGTTTTTCATAGTTGGCTTTATAAATATTACTTACTACATTTTATTTTACTCGGTGTTTTATATATAATAAATGTTCTCTTCAGTTTTTATTTCTTGATTAAGCCCAAAGATCTTAATTCACACAATAACGTGATACCATAGAACCTTGTCTTCATAGATCAAGATGTTTATGTTAGGGTTGTACTTAAAGTTGAAGTTCAGCTTTTTACATTAATGTATTGAGATATCTCTGAATTACTTTAATTGAATTTATCTGTAAAATAATTACACCATTTTTCTAGGTAATTATCATGATGAATAAGTATTTTGCTATTTCACGTGTGTGACCAGGTTTTTGTAAACATATCTAAAATTGTCATGTCATTGCTAATCATGATTTAAAATATTAATAATAATTTAGGCTATGGCGTTTGTTTGCCTTATATTTTTCGTTCTTATTATAGCCTAAATATATTATTGTACTAATTCAAAAAAACTTAGAAAGTAGATAAAGAAGCCGAAGAGTCTGATTTTGGCATGACATCATAATCTGAGAAAAGAGAATTTAGAGCATCATGGATATATTAATTGAATTATATTTAAATAACTGATTCTTTATTGCTATTGTACGTAAAAAATAGAGCAAATAATAAATGAAAAAGTAAATTATTTTTTGATAAAAGTTAACTCGCTCAGAACGACTGGAAAATATTACAACATTTAGTTAACGTTAATGTCCGTTTCTCCCGTTTCATCTGTTTATGAAATATGAGGTTTATGAGGCCATAGGATACTGAACATGATGCGTTGGCATCTATAGCAGCTTTACCTTGAATTAAAGCTGGGGAATTTGTTAAACTTATAATGAGTTGTAGAAGAGAGGAGCTCATTTGGGATTAATTAATTAGCATTGGTTCGGATTAATTAATAAGCGTTTATTCGGTGAAGGGCAGTGTGTTGGCACACCAGTACAACATAATTAGAATATAAAAACACGGAGAACGATCGAACTAGGTGACTCAGTAATAATTAAAATAAAATAAAAACTGAGTGGTTGGTATCTGAAACTACACTCATAATTACAACATCACAACTATCACATCTAAAGGACCGTTTGAATTTTCGGAAATGGAACACAGCCCTATTATTATTTTTAATAATTTGAAAAGCCGTTTATTTTTTTCGTTTTGTTTTCTTAGTGCAAGTCCCTCCTGCCACATTGGAACAGCGATAAGGCTGTGGACTTAAAACACTAGAAGCCGAACTTCGATACCCGTTGTGGACACACCACAGGTAGCCGATTATATATCTTTATGCTTAACCACATACAAATATAAAACAAGACTCCTCCAGTGGCTCAACACTAAGGCCGAAGGCTTATAACGCTAAACACCGGACTTAGATACCTATGGTGGGCACAGCACAGATAGCCCATTGTGTAGCTTTGTGCTTAACAACAACAAACAAAAAAATCTTAATGCAAAGCTACACAATGATTTATCTGCATTATGTTCACTGCGAGGAACATAAACCCTAATTTTAGCGTTGTAAGTCCGTAAGCTTACTACTGACCCACCGAGAAACTTTAAAAATCCACTTATAGTCTTAGGGGAGAAAAAAAGAAGCCACACTATCCTATACCACCGTAAATGCAGTGAATATTCCTTCTAAAGCCAAGTTGGTCTTTTATCGGAGACTGAATACAAAAAAGAACTATTTTGAGGCCCTATCATTTAATTAAATGTTTGTTACCACGAAGTCTCAATCCCACTCTTCAAGGTTTTCCCAGGAGTATAAGTAAACGTTATGAGTAATGGGCCAAAAAAAAAAAAACTTATGCTACACCACACAAGTCATCTCTTTTGGGGAAAAACCTGAAACTTCCGAATGAAATTATGAATTTGATGTTTTTCTGGTTCCAACATAGGATTCGAATAATGGTGCAGATGTAGGTAAGAAGGCAAACATGGGGATGTAGTTTCGTAACATTCACTTCAAACAGCTGGTCTATGATGTACTGCGGGAAAATAAACCAGAGAAATATTTTAAGCTAAACCACTCGAACTCTCTTGTTTTTCTTTATTTACGTCCACATATTTCACACCAGTTTATAAGAACTTTTTATAACTTAATCGGAAAAACACGTACGCAGGATGTTTCCAATATGTCTCACACGTGTAGAATTTCCAAGAATTAAACGTTCAATCGTTTTGTCAGAAAACCTTAAACGTGTCTGTTTACGGGATTCAACTTTAATATAGATATCACTTTGGTGTGTCAATCACTTTAATAAAAAACACTTCACTTACATTTTGGGCTTTTAATGAGAAACATTTCAACTGTTTCTATCTCATTAAAATGTCACATAAGTATGCTAGGCATCACCTTCTATACGAATATATAAAAATGATGTACAATATTTGTTTTCGACATTTAGGTATAGATAACATAGTGACTTCATTTATAAAAGAAATGTTAGTTACCTAACTCTTCTGCTTCTTTGAGTATTTCAGCCTTACGATGAATCCCAGAATAAATTAAACAAATTTACTGCTAAAGGTTTGATTTACATTGAACACATCATATCATACAGTTTGTTTGTAATTAAGCACAAAGCTACACAAAGGGCTATCTGTGCTCTGCCCATCACGGGTATCGAAACCCGGACTCTAGTGTTGTAAGTCCGCAGACACACCGCATAGCCACCGGTGGGCTATATCATACAGAAGCCAATGTTTCACAGTACGCTTACAGAAGCGTTTAGAGCTACCATATTATACAGAGATATAGACTCCAAATACTGGGATAAGTCGCGTTTACAGCTACCATATTATACAGAGATATAGACTCCAAATACTGGGATAAGTCGCGTTTACAGCTACCATATTATACAGAGATATAGACTCCAAATACTGGGATAAGTTGCATTTACAGTTACCATATTATACAGAGATATAGATTATAAATACTGGGATAAGTCGCGTTTACAGCTACCATATTATACAGAGATATAGACTCCAAATACTGGGACAAGTCGCGTTTACAGCTACCATATTATACAGAGATATAGACTCCAAATACTGGGACAAGTCGCGGTTACAGCTACCATATTATACAGAGATATAGACTCCAAATACTGGGACAAGTC